AACAAATATTTACCAAGCATCTATTTTGAGCAAGCATTGGAGTAAGTCCTCCCATAGATATGAAGTTGTTTAAATAAGGATGCATGCATTCATGTAAATACAAGTTTAATGCTAGATATATATTGTTTTAAGTACCTGACATGTATTAGTCTATTTATTCCTATCTAAGGGGGTAAGTACCATTGTTGTTTCCATCTTAAGCATGAGGAAACTGAGGCCAGAGAGATTATATGAACTCCTAAAACCCAAACTCTTGTTGTTTCCATCTTAAGCATGAGGAAACTGAGGCCAGAGAGATTATATGAACTCCTAAAACCCAAACTCTTAACCACAGCTTTCAAAATCTGTCTGGTTATAGTGGAGGACCCAATGTCAAAAAAGCAAGGGCTTTTCCCAGATCATGAATACAATGTGTGACAAATTAGCAGTTCCTCCCCATGCCCTAAGATAGTAAATATCCACCCAGGCCAACTGTGTCTGTCAGAGAACAGAGAGTGGGCCTGTCACACTGTTTTCTCCCAAGAGGGTCCATCTGCCACCGCTCCTTTGGTACACACTAGGGGACACACACTGTCCAGCATATTCTTGCAGAGTCATATCTTACCCCACATCTTATCACAACCCTGCTAAAGGTCAGGCACTATCAAAAAAATGTTCACTCATCTTCCCGTTATGCCCAATGTGTGAGCTGATAACACATCTAAATTCAAAGAAAATCAACAGATGTCACCTCAGTCAACCTGAAAAGTCTGGTGACTCATTCCCACCCTTCTCACGGGGCTCCTGCTGGGCTGCCTAGTTCTCCTGAACCAGCCTCCAGGCCTCCTGCAGCCAGGGCACAGCTCAGTGTTGGAGCCTCCTCTCTGCTACTCATCAGATGAGTGTTGACTTTCTTTGGTGCAGGCATTTGAGTTGCATTTGAATTGCAGAACATGCTGCCCCCGTTCTGTGCTGACTGTGACCCCACTGCGTGTGCCCGGAGTCAGGCTAAACAAGCTTGCCTTGGAAAAAATAACAGGGAAGGAGATGCTGACTCTTCAACCCCTAGAGTAAGTTCTGTCCCTCTGGAGGTAAAGTCATAATATCTAAATATGGCTCGATTCCTGTCAGGTCTTATAAATACACACACACATGTGGATGCTGAAACCGTGCATGCCCTGACAGCCAAAAAAAAAATCAAAACGACTTACTGTCTCATTAGCAGGACAAGACCTGGTAGGCCAACTCACCAGAATAAAGAATACAAAAAATGGGTATTTAATTTTTCTACACACACGTGCGCGCGCGCACATACACACACAAAATGATGTAATGACCCCAAGAGAGCTGGTTGCCCTGGCAATGAAGAATCATTTGTGTATTCAGGGATTTTCTCGTTTAAATTTAAGCTAGCCACTTGAACTTCTCGAGCTTTCTTGAGCTTAGCTTTAGGCCTTCATCCCCAGACAGAGGCCTGACATCTGTGTCAGCCTCTAGCAAAGCAGGAAGCTTAGAAGTAGGACCAAAACCTCACAAGCCAGCCAGCCTGGCTTTGAGTTTCAGCTCTATGGTTTCTCAGCTGTGTGACCTGGGTAAGCTACTTAACAACCTTGAGCCTCTATTTCCTCACCTGTAAAATGGGAATAATAAAATTAAAACAAACTTGCATGGGTTCATTATGAAAATTGGATCGATTAGATGACATAATACGTAGCAAACATTTAGAGCTGTGCCTGATTCCGAATGTGAGTTATTTGTAATAGTGACTTGAGATGAGTTCACACTGCCTGGCAGGAAACCATTCAATTCCTTTTTGTTTTTGACTTTAATCTTTGAAGCGCTTTCATCTCATTTCTTCTTCTTTTGTGTTTGTGGAGAAGGAGGATGTTTAGCCATCCTTGGAGTATAATCTTTTATTAAAAACCATTATTAAGTCTCTTCAAGTTTCTCTTTTGCAGTAAATGATCTAGATTACTTAATGGTTCTGTTTTACATGTTTTAATCATTTATTTGAACCATCTCCAGATGTAGTACACACAGATATATTGTCTAGGAAAATTTGTTACTGAAATTCCTTACCATCTTTGGTTCATTAGCTCAAATGTTTAAAACCCATTGTGTCTATTTTTATTATTTAGTTAGTTATTTTGGCAAGACAGGGTCTCACTCTTTTGTCCAGGCTAGAGTGCAGTGGCACAATTATAACTCATTGCAGGCTCAAACTCCTGGGCTCAAGCAATCCTCCAGCCTAAGCCTCCCCAAAACTCATTATTCCTAAGAGCAAAGTTGAGTTCCATCATATTGTCAGTTGGTTTCTCTCCATCATATTGCCAGAACCATCTAATTCTCAGATGCATAGTTTAGGACAAGCCAAACCAGAAGAGACCATAGGTCATTCATTCATTCAACATTTACTAAGTGACTGCTGTATGCCAGAGGCTGGGCTGTGCTGTAAGATCACAAAGAAGATATTTCTCAGTTGAAAGAGCTTGCGGCTTGGGAGAGAAGACACAGAAGCAAACAAATCATTACAAATGCCTTTCCATTGGGTGCCATACTTGAAATGAGCAGGTGAGGCCAGGGTACCCTTGGGGCAGAAGGGAGGGAGGATTAAGCTCAGGGAACAGCTTTACAGAGAAGGTGACATTTGCACCATATTAAAGGATGGCAAGAATTGAGGAGTACAAAAAGGAGTATAGTCAAAGAAGAAGCACCCAGGGATGATTTGCACATTGTAAATTTAGGTAACCTTACATGGGCCTGCCGTGACTGAGGCACAGGGTCAAGGAAGGGAGCAGAGTCATAAAGCTACCCAGGTCGGCCAAGGCCAGGCTAGGAAACCTGAGCATTATCGTGCGGGCATGCAGAACCAGAGAAGGGTGCAAGAAGAGACATGGCACAGTCTGATCTGTTTTGCACAAATCACTCTGGAAGCAATGAAGATGGGAGAGTGGAGATATTTGAGCTTAGAGTCAGGAAGGAGAAGTAGGATGCCAGGGTTGTGAGGAAAGACTATAAAACCCACACAAAGGAGGGCTGATGGAAAGATGGAAATCAAATTCAGGTATATTTAGGCCAGGTGCAGTGGCTCACGCCTGTAATCCCCGCACTTTGGGAGGCCGAGGCAGGCGGATTACCTGAGCTCAGGAGTTCGCAACCAGCTGGGCAACACGGTGAAACCCCATCTCTACTAAAATACAAAAAATTAGCTGGGCATGGCGGTGTGCGCCTGTAGTCCCAGCTACATGGCAGGCTGAGGCAGGAGAATTGCCTGAACCCCAGGAAGCAGAGGTTGCAGTGAGCCGAGATTGCACCACTGCACTCCAGCCTGGGCGACAGAGCGAGATTCCATCAAAAAAAAAAAAAAAAAAAAAAAAATTCAGGTATATTTAAAAGATAGTGTTTAGAGACCCATTAGTGGAAGATGCCAGATTTGAGAAAGGGAAGGAAAAGACACGGAGGAGTCCAGAAGAAATTTCCAGATTTCTGGTGTGGATAACTGTGAGGGCAATGGTGCCAGATAGTGCCAGAATGAAACTCATATAGGCTGGCACAAATCCACCTCTCAGAAATGCACCTCAGAGACACCCGTTCTGCTGAAGGTCAGTAGAGAAAGCCAACTTCATGTGCAAAGAGCAGTATGTGTATTTCTTACTAGCTATTCTTTTTAAAATACTTCTTAGTATATGGGACATACATGAGCTAAGATAGTATTCATGCAGGAGTTTTCATTTTTCATATTCTGGCAATTGTGTTTTCAAATATGAGATGCTAGCATTATTTCCGTTATCTATGCCTAACATAGTATATATCTACGGTTCAAGATTATTAATTGTCTCCCCTGCCTCCCCACTAGAAGGTAAGCTTTGTGAAGCCAGGGATTTTGTCTCTTTTGTCCTCATCTCCATTCCCAGCCCCTAAAACTAAGTTTGACTCCCAATAGGTGCTAAATACTTACGGAGTAAATGATTGAATTTCCATGTGGGTAAAAAGAAACAGTCATTTCCTTTACTAATGAGGAAAGAAAAGGAAAACAACAAACAAACCTGGACTTAAAACAGTTTTTACAAAAAGATCCAATTTGCAAAAATGGAACTGAAGTTTAAAAGCTATTTTTCTCCCTGCAGCCCTGCTTCTGGGAAAATCACAACTGCCAGCTTAGATGGTGGTTTTCACTGCCCAGTTACAAATTCTGCACGGTTGTACATATTGGCAGGACTCAGCTTCCTTAAATGCCATTTGATCAGTAGGGAAATGGTGATTTTCCTTATTGATTTAATGCCAGTTCCTCTTTTATGAAAAATCCCACGTGCTGCTCGCTGGCACATGTACCATAAAAACTGAACGTAGCGGGCCAGAAATTAAGCAAGTCACTCCTGTTCTTCTCCAGCCATGTGATGTTAAACCATCTCTACTTTCAGGCTGGAGTGTTCAATCACTCTTCCTTTAAATTTAGCGCAGTGATTATTCCTCCTGGTGGATTGCACATATGCTCCTTAGATCTACGAAATACTCATTCCTGGATGAACTTTAAGCTCCCAAGAAATGCATGTAAAATACTGTTTATAAATCGCGGGAGAAATGTTTCACATTCTCATTACTCCCAAGTAGTCACACCAAACCTTTCTCTCCAAGATTCGCTTTTTTTCCTAGAAGAGGGAAGAAGAACTTTGGGCAGTAGCACTGTGACAGTAATCACCACCATCGTACTTTCCATGGGTTTTATGCAGTAGCCTCACAGAAGTGACAAATGTATGGTTGGGCGCAGTGGCTCACGCCTGTAATCCCAGCACTTTGGGAGGCCGAAGTGGGAGGATCAACTGAGGTCAGGAGTTCGAGACCACCCTGGCCAACATGGTGAAACCCCATCTCTACTAAAAATACAAAAAATTAGTCGGGCGTGGTGTTGGGCACCTGCAATCCTACCTACTCGGGAGGGTGAGGCAGGAGAATCACTTGAACCCAGGAAGTGGAGGTTGCAGTGAGCCAAGATTACACCACTACACTCTAGCCTGGGCAACAGAACGAGACTCCGTCTCAAAAAAAAAAAAAAAAAAGTGACAATGTAGGATACCCTTTCATCGGCAAATATTGACTGTGAGTAGAACAATGTGCTAAGTCTATAAACTGCAAAGAGGAGTGGGGCTCGGTTCCCATCCTCTGAGGCTTACAAGGTAGCTGAAGTAGAACTCAAACCACAAAGTGAAGTTAATAGTCACCAATGAACTACATAGTTAGTAAGCTCTCCACTCGTTCGGAAGAGGGCAAGAGTAACAAGACAGTAATCCTAAAGGAGATGGACTTGAGTTTGAGCTGGACCTGAAGTCAGGAGCTGGAGTGAGTAAAGGCAGAGGGGTGGGAACATTTGTGAACCAAAGCTCAGATGGGGGTTACAGCAGGCAGGGTGGGGATAGACTGGGATGACTTTGAATGCTATGCCACTCTAAGGACTTCGGACTTGACTCTACAAGCAAGGTGGAATTATTAAGAGGTTTTGAGTAGAAATGATGTGAGCTGAACAGTGCTTTTGAGAAACTAAATCTATCAGGGATTGGTGCTCCAAATTAATTGGATGTGTTTCAGACTTGAGATCATGAGACCCTAACCCAGCCTGGGAACAATGGGATGTCTCCATCATACATTACATTCCTGTGAATACTTCTCAGGGATTCATATGAAATTGTGCCTCAATGTGCCTACCTGTCTCTGCACTGTAAGACAATGATATTGTGATCCTGTGTGCTGCTTGGAACCAGCCTCATTCCTTTAGCACCCCAGTTTGGACTTGGAATAGGCCCAAGTGTGGCCTGTACACAAACCTCAAAGAATCCATGTGGCATAGATGTAAAAGCTGGGAGGAATCTTGGAGCCCTCCAAGTCCTCCTCTTCAACTTAGAAAGAAACTAAATCTTGCTCATCTCCCCAATGACAGATTCAGCATGTGGCCTCAGATCTTCCTGTGCTCCAGCAGTGCTACTGAGGCTAGTTCAAATTCTGCTTTGAGGTGTGCATGTACCAATTCTGGTACAATCCAGAAGCATTTTGGACGAATGAAGGAGTTGTTTATGTTTTCTTGCCCTAATTGAGATAGTTGAAGCTGCTCTCCCTTACTCTACACCAAGCCCCCAGATCTGGTACCTCCCTGAGTCCCTGACTTCATCTCTGCCAATTCCCTGCCTTGCTGTTTCCCCCACAACACCCTATTATTTCTTGCATCCTGCCATTGGTTGTGTTGTCCTCATTTTCTGAAGCCTTTACCTCCCGTCTTAGGCCTCATCACCTCCAGGAGACTCTCCATGGCCTCAGCCCCTCCCTTAGGTGGACCAAGCTTCCTCCTTGGAGCTCCATGCTACCCTGCATAGGGCTCAGTCACTGTGTCTCCATGATGTCTTACAATTGTCTATTTATGTGTCTGCCTCCTATCCTTCAACTGTGAGCTCCCTGAGGAAAGAAAGTGTGGGTACGCATCATTGAATACTCAGCGTCTAGCACAGTGCCTGGTACACGCTAGGTATTGAAATGTCTGATAAATAAATGAATGACAGTTGTATATTTGTCTTCTTGGTATATTCATTCATTTGATAAATATGTATTGAGTAATTACTTATAATCGAATTGGCGCTGTATAGTTACACTTAAACATCAAAATAAACCTATCCTCTCAAGCTCCAAATTATGCATGCATAAATTATACATGTGAAGTGTTAACATGCACACGCAGCAGAGAGTGTGCGTATCTACAAATACCAGAGCTAGCAAATGAAATAAACTGTGTGCCAGATGTCCCGAAATTTACAAAGAACCAAGAACCAAAAATGACAGTTAGCTCCGTAAGCCCAACAAAAGAAAAAAAAAAAAAGGAAAAGAGCAAAAAAGCAAAAGAACAAAGGAACCTTGAGCATAAGGAAGTGGCTATGGTTTTTTCTACATACTGAAGCCGGGGGTGGGGAAGAGTCATAAAACCTTTCTGTGCTGGACCGGTTCATGTTAAGTCTGAGTTCCTCAATCGCTGGTTCTCAGGAGCTGTTTGGAAAATTCATTGCCATGCACGAGTCGGGGGACTGGTTTTTTTCCACTGGAAATTGTTAATGGGGACTGCATTAGCGGCCCCTTATCACCTTGCCTGATAGAGAGACAGCAGGTTCGCCCAAACAATTCTGGAATCCTGATCACTGCCAATTAGGGGAGTATTGTCTGGCTGACATAATCAAGTGAGTATAAATATATTTATCATGATTGGAATGGGGAAGGGAGACTGCAGAAAGATTGAGGCAGAAGCCGCCACCCACTGCCTGGCTCCAGCCTGAATCCAGCCCAGTTTGTCACCCTGTGCTCAGCTGATGCGGTCACTGGCTTTCTGAGGTGGAATGCACAGTTGAGAATTCAGGACTAGAATTGCTTCTCCCAGAGAGGAACTTGTCTTTCCTTAGTTTTCCTCTCCTCTTCTTCTCTTTTTTTTCATGCTCACTTCTGTGAAATCTGAAAAGAGAAGAAAAAGCAGATGTCACGGATCACGTTTAATTCTACCCCTGCCGGCCATGCTGTCCCCACTTACCTTCTCTGTAATGGAAAGTGATGGTGAGGCACAGTGCCCCGACTGGACCCCCCACCCTCTCAGCCCACCGGCGTGTACAAGTTGGTCCGGCATTGGGTTTATTTCATTGTTGATTTGTGGAGCTTTGATGGGAATCCCTGTGATATGAATCAGCCCTGGGATTGAAAGACCCTGAAAAAAACAGTCCCTTGCAGTGGGCTAGCGATGGGAGGAATTGGTCACATTTCAACAGCTGAAAGGGAGGCATGTTTAAGTCACATCTGGTGGCGTTCCTATTGTCTGAATGGAGAGCAGGGTCTTTTTAAGCATCTGCTCAGATTTCAAAATGCAGGCGGCATCTTTTCTTCCCCAAACAAACGGTCAGGATTGGATACGAATGGCTGAATCGCATCATCATGGGAGAGGTCAATGACAAAACTGATCTCACGGCTGGATTTCAACCCTGGTCCGTCCAGGCCCAATCGATCCAAGGCATGACTTTTTTTTTTTCCTCTCACCCCTGACTACTTGATAATGGCCATTTCCAGGGCCAAGTTGATTTCGGCTATTTTCCTCCATCCCCTGTGTGCTGCCCTGTCTCACCACTTGAGGGTTGAGGCCCCTTCCCAATGGCTACAACAGGGTAAGGGGACCCTGTCCTTCTGTCTCCTTCATCCGATAGTTTGTCTTCACTGCTGCAAATCGCTCTCAGGCCTGCCTTCCTGGATTAGACAAAAACTATTTTCTTACTGGTACTGCAGATACCACACGTGGACATGTAAGTAGGAAGGTGCAGGTCCACAAATATATAAGGAGCCCAGACAGGAGAAATATCATTAGAGAGATCACTCTCCGGAAAGGCATCTGACCACCCGTGTTCCTGCCTCTTCCTGCTACCATTTTCCTCCTTCGGCTGCTCAGAAATTGTCAAGGCCAAACTCCTTTCACCCAGATTCCAGAAATGCACTTGTTTCCTTTGCTTTCCAAATGTTAATGGATGAAACACTTTTTTTTTTTTTGTCTTCTATCTCTCGCCAGAAATATTGTTTTTTGAGAACCAGAGCTCATTTATCTCCAAGGGAGAAAGAAATTCGTTCCGTGTTTACCCATTAACAAATTACCACTTACGTGAAAATACTGGGACTTCCCTCATTCTTTGCTAATAAATGGATTATTCACCTTGGTTGAACCTTGGCAGAGGCAGATGGATAGCCACTGTTCCCTTCAAGTTGGCTTAATATTCTCTCGTTGGCTTTTGTTTCCTTGAAGCACAGAGATTTCTCAGTGCTTTCTTTGCTTGATTCTGCTTTTAAGGAATGTGCCCAACTTCTTTGAGTCTGTTTAGTAAGCTGAACTGATTAAATCCCTGGCGTTTCTGGAGGAGCCTACTGTGTTGGGTGCTATGGGTTCCTCCCCACTTGAAAGTTGAATGGAGTCACCCATCTGAATACTAACTCCCTCCTAATCCATTGGTTTTTCTACTGTGTAGACAGGGGTATGAAGTAGCCATTTACCAAGATACAGTGCTATGTCATAAACCGAGCTTGAGTTCTAATGTTAGCAAGACCTGGTTTGTACAGTAATGCAGGCTTGGGCACGTTGCTGCTCTCTTTTGAGTCACAGATTCCTCATTATAGATGCTGATGGGAACAACAGAGCTGTCTGTTCATCTTTGCTCTTCTCCATAATGAGATAAAGCCAAACAGGCAGTGAAGAGCCTGGTCTAACCACATAACATTGGTGCAAATTATATACGGTCATAAGAAGGTAATTTTTACCTGAGCATTTAGGTGACATTTGGTGTGGTATTTGATGCATGTCATTTAGTTACAGAGATAAAACCTCCTGAACACACGTAAAGCTCTTGGCCTGGTTGAACATTACGTCTCACACATTTTTATGCTTTTTACTAAGGATACTTCCTGCTAGGAAGTTATAAAAGAGAAGATGGAAGTCCATTTAATGGTATGTAGCAATATCAGTTTCCTGGCTTTGATACCGTACTATGGTGATGTCAGATGTCCCCATTGGGGGAAATGGGGTGAAGCGTACAGGGGACCTCTCTGTACTGTTTTTGCAATTTCCTGAGAGACAGAGGGAAACAGAGAGAGAGAGAGAGGAGGAAATCATTATAGTGACATGAAAAAGGAGTGTTCATCTTGGCTTTCGTCCCTAGCTGGACAAATATTTACATTTTGTTTGCCTCTTTGTGTAGATTTTGTGAATAGTCATGGCTAAAAGCTAGCGTTCCCTTTTGTGTGGCAGAGAAGAAAGAAAATAGAATGAGCTGAGAACCCCTGCCAACATTATATTAGAAAGCCACCTACTTCCTGCCTCTCCTCACTCTCCTTACCTATACAAACTTACCTTCTGCATCCTTGTCCTCCTCCTTTCCCATTCAAAGGCGAGATGCATCTCCTGCTGAACAAATAAACTCCTCCACCTGACCAAGGTGTCCCATCCCTGCCTGCTGTCTCCAAAGGCTCAGTCCTGCTACATAATGTCTCTAGGTGAATTCCTTCTCACTCAGGGTTTTCGCAATCATCTATATTGGAATAGCACCCAAATTTATGGCTCTACCCAGACTTTTTTATTGAGTTCTACACCTGCATAGCCAACCCTTGACTGGGAGTCTCTACCTAGATCATTCACAAGCATTTCAAACACCCCTCTAATTATCTTCTCTTTCTGTATTCCCTTACCTCAGAAAATGCTACCAACATCTACCCTAATGCCCCCAGCAGGAACCCAAGAGTCATTCTAGACCTATGCTGTCCCAAGTACTTCAATGTGGCTTGTCCAAATTGAAATGTGCTGTAAATGTAAAATACACACCAGATTTCAAAGACTTAGTTTAGAAAAAATAATGCAAAGTATCTCAATTATATTTTATATTGATTTCAAATTGAAATGATAATATTTTGGACATACTGGAGTAAATAAGTTATTAAAAAATAATTTTCTTTTACTTTTTAATGTGCCACCAAAATATTTAAAATGGCATAGTAGCTGGCATTTGTGACTTGCTTCTATTTCTATTGGATGACACCATTCTAGACTCTTTTTTGTCTTTTAGCCCCCTTCCAACTGGTCATGATTCACAGTGATTCCCTTGAGTTAAGACAAGGGAAAATAGTGGTTAAGTGCACAGACTGAGTTTGAATCCTGGCTCCACCATTTTTTGATACATATGAACTTGGGTGATTATTTAACCCCTTTGAGCTTCACTTTCCTCATCTGTCAGCTGGATACAATAGCAGTTCTTATTTTGAGATTCTTGCATGCTTTAAATGGGATAATGTGTAAAGCACTTACTATGGAGATAAAAACATATGGAAAGACCCAGTGTCAAAAGAAAGAGCATCATTACTAGCCAAGACTACTGCAATGCTTTCTCCATCTTCAGTTCACCCTGCCCTCCAGTCCTTCATACTGCCATCTGATTAAACATTCCTGAATGCAAATGTTATCAAATTTCCAGTGACTTCCCATCATCCTTGGTATGAAATCCAAAGTCCTTGGCATGCTTTCAATGTCCTCCATGATCTGCCCCCAGTCCAATCACTGATTGCATCTCCTGCCCGTCCATGATTGAACCAGTTGGGTCCCCAACTTCTTGCACACACCATTCTCTCTGTGTGTCACATATGAGCTCTCTACTCTGCCTAGCTACTTGTCTGCAAGACTCAGTTCAACTGTCATCTCATTTGGGAAGCTTCCACTAATCCCTCCTGCACCTGTCTGCATCCTAGGCTAGATTAAGAGCCTGCCCTTTGGGTTCCTGAACCACTTGAGGTTTGTTTCATTTATCACACTGATCTCACTGGTTTGGCTGGCTTGTTTGTCTTTCCTACAAGACTGAACTGTCTGAGGTCTTAAGGTGGGCTGTCTAGTCCACACTGGATCTTCGTGCTCTACACGGGGCTTGACACAGAGTGGGACACAGGGAATGTTTGTTAAACGAATACGCAAAGCATATGGATACTCCTGAGAGAGAGAAGGTGGGCAAGACAGCATTGCGAAGTTAAGCAGCAGAAAATCTGAAAACAAACCTGGGGAGAAATCACCAATTCCTGGAAGTACAGAGAGAGGAGGGGGAGAGAAGAATCTGTGCAAAGAATCAGTAATGGAGGACTTGAAATGAAAGGCTATTAAAGAGAGAAGATCACTCAAACAACAGAACCGCATTTGGTACTGTTGGTGGTTTTATAACTTCCTCTGAAATAGTTCCAGGAAGAGACAAGGTTCTAGGATGGTGCAAATCATATAAAGAAAGGTTAGGGTATTATAAGCCAGTTCAAGGGATTGTCATCAGGACTAGATACATGGGTGGTACAAGTAAATGTCAACCTGGTGACTACATGATGGGACTAGTAATAATTTACTGGGGCTGGTGCCCAGGAATTTTTTTGCTGTGGTGCAGATGCCAAGCATGGAAAAATCTGACAAGTTATAGGCATGAGAAAGTAGATGGTGAATTTGAGAGTAAAAATGTAAAATGCCAGAGTAATCACAAGAGAAATGTCTGAATATGTAAGAGAGTTTAGAAGATTTCTGCTTTACCACAAATATGGACTTCAAGAAAAATTCCCTTATAAGAACAGAAATTCCACTATATAAAACCTATTTATCAAAACACACAGTATTCCATGATATATAATGGTAAAAGCATGCCTT